TTTAAAGCCCCAGTGGCCAAAGTGGGAAAATCTGGACCCTCCAGAGTGAGATGCTCTAAGTTAGGGCAAGACCCTTTAACTGGCATCTTTAAAGACAATTTCCAAATCAGGTGTCAGACCAAATGAGGCTGGTAAAAAAAAAAAAGGGGGGGGGGGGGGGGGGGGGGCAAGCTAGTGACTTTAAGCTTTTTAATAAGCACTGTAGGGAAAGAATTAGAGATGAGAAACCCAATGAATCCAGTTAAAGGAGATATCCATTCTCTCTGCACTTGGTGAACGGAAGGGGAAAAGCTTGAGAGAGGAGCCTACAGCATACAAGTGGGGCTCTGGAGCCAGACGGCAGCATTCCACCCCGAGCGTCTTCTGCTGACCCACATTGTTCCTGAACTCTGCTGCACCTCAAGTGGCTTAGCTGTAAAGTGGGACAACAACAGGGTCTGCCTTGTAGGGGTGCTGTGGGATCAAATGAGTGGATGCACATAAGATCCTTACAACAGTGTCAGGCACTAGGAATGGCTCCATAAACACAAAACACTGGCTTGATTTTCACATCGTTTTTTCTCCGGTCTAATCATTTCCCTTTTGACCTCATTTTTAAGCCCGTGTGTGTGTGTGTGTGTGTGTGTGTGTGTGTGTGTGTGTGTTTGTGTGTATCCTTTTTATTTACTTTTGAGAGAGAGACAGAGAGAGAGAGAGAGAGAGCGAGCATGCCCGTGAGCGGGACAGGGGCAGGGAGAGTGGGAGACAGAATTCCAAGAAGGCTCCACACTGTCAGCACAGAGCCCGACGCCAGGCTGGAACTCACGAACTGTGAGATCATGACCTGAGCCTAAACCAAGAGTCAGAGGCTTCACAGACTGAGCCAGCCAGGCACCCCGGCCCATTTATATTCTTTAAAAATTGATGTAAAGTATGTTTCTGTCAGTTTCCTCGAGTAATTTCTGGAATGAGGCAGGATAAAGATACAGACACTCATGATAACTGCTATGTGCTGAGTGTTAACTACGTGCTCAGAGCCCCCTGTGGCGGCTGGGGCTCAGCTTGGTATGGGGAGTGAGGAGGGCTCAGGGTCTGCAGGGCCCCACTCAGACAAAGCCACATGAGGAGCTAAGGAATTCATACTTGATCCTCAGAGCAACGGGCCTTGTTTGAAGGTTGAAACCAGGACATGAGAAAATCAGGTTAACTGTGGAAAGCTCACTGTAAAAAAAAAAAAAAAAAAAAAAAAAAGGTCAACTTTGGGAAGCTCATTCAGGGTTCCTGAGGAAGTCTGGGGTCTCCTGGAGGGATGCCAAGGTAGGAGGCAATGGAGGCCAAACCAAGGCACCGCAGCAGGGCTGGCTGGCATCATGGGCGTGTGACCTACACAGTCACATAGGATCCCACGCTCCCAGGGGTCCACGCTTATTTTAATGTTCTGCTGTGGCTGTCCTGAAATTCTCAATACGTTTCCAACAAGAGGTTATGCCATTTTCATTTTGCACAGGGTCCCACAAATTATGTAGCTGGCCCTACCTTGCAGGGATACTTCGTTTGCCCCTACGTCTACACTACCAGGTGAGGCAGTGAAGGTTACTTGTCTTTAAAATGAAGAAACGGAGGCTCTGAGAAGGTAAACCGGCCCACGGCATAGCTGGTCAGTGACAGGGCAGCAGCATACCCAGGTCTTGGGGTTTCAACTTGGGGGCCTCCACTGTGGGAAAGTGGCCACCTCTGCCTCTCAGAAAGCAGTGCTCAGGCTCGTCCGGGCCTGGGCTGCAGGAACTGCCTTCCACCCCCACCCAAGACTGAGCTGACCCCTGCCAGCCGGAACTGGGTATGGTCAGAGCCAACGCCCACGGATCTGGGTCCACAAGGCCAGTTCCACAACAGCAACGGGCCAGCGATTAATGAAACAATTCACCAGGAGCAAAGCAAACACAAATAATCAAATAATCTTTGCAGTCCCAGGATCCCTCCTCTCCCAACCCCCAAAACCAATTTAGAGCCAATTCAAGGAAGGAAGGGGGAGAAAATTCTCCACCAATAGCTCAAAATCTGCCTAGTAAAGGAAGAGTTGACATATCAAAGTACACCATGTCTTTGGCTTCCTTGACAGACTCTGAGAGGCATTTCCAAGGATGAGTTTGGCCCAGGTGCTGTTCCAGGCACTGGAGTTACAACAGGGAATAAAACAGATAAAAATCTTTGCCCTAAGGAGCTCATATTTTAATGGCAGGGAGAAAGAGAATAAGCATAATAATTAAGTGAATTATACAGCGTTAGGACATATAGGTGCTTACATGAAATAACACAAATGATGAAAATAGCGGCCAAAATTTATTGGGTGCTTACTCTGTGTCTAAATGCTTTACACACATTGACTCATTTAATCCTCTCAACAACGGATATTGTTCTCATGCCCATTTCACAGACAGAATACACAGGAGGTAAGTTGTGCAAGGTCCCACATGCAATAAGAAAACAAGAGTACTGATAAGAAAGGGCAGGAGACTGCCATTCCCCCCCAGCCTCTTCCGGATTCTGGTTGGTTTTAAGGCACCACAACAGGCAGGAAGCCTGGATTTCTTCCAGGCCTTGAACTGGGAGAGGGGGTCCAATCACAGGGCCCCTTTCTACTCCCCCACAGTTCTTAAGAGATCTAACAGGGCTGTGGGATCCTCCAAGCACTCCCTTTTCTCCCAGAGCTAAGGCTTTGGAGCTAATAGCCCAGAGTGCAAATCCCAACTCCACCAGCTCACCAGTATATGGCCCTGGGCAAACAGCTTCTACCTGGCAGCCTCCCTTTCCTTTGATTTAAAATGAAGATGAAAACTCCCTCTCACAGGTGACAAGGGAACAGACATCAAGTCTGGACCTTGCAGTGCCTATACAGGGGTAGATGCCCCAAGCATGCTGGTTCATACATGCCCCCACTCCTGGGCCCCACGATGCCCTCCTCTCCTCTCCAGTGTTGAGAGGGCACGGCCACATGTCACCCAGCTCTGTACTGTGGGCCACGTGGCAGAGGGCTGAGCACGGTAAACATCTGATGAACACTGAAGAGGAAGAAGGTATGTGGGGTGGTGGAACCTTCCTTAGAAACTGAGCCCTGGAGTTAATGGATCTTAAAAAGTGCGGGTTGCTAGGCAGAAATGTCTTGTCCTCCAAAGTGCAAATGCAAAGTGGTGAAATCTATTCTCAACATTCTGTGGTAAGCCCAAGCCATCAAGAAAACTTATTACAACACCTCATTTAGCTGGGGTCCCCGTGGCACCAGGGCACTCCAAATCTCCAACTCAAGGGGCAACTCAGGTCAGAAGCTGTTAGTGACCTGGGACCCTGGCCCACCCTTCAGGCTAGTTGTCATGAGGTCCAAGGCAAGACCCTCAACCTGGAGCCTCAACTTCCTTCTTTTAAGATAAGGGGCTAGGTACAGAGTGACAGGATTAAGTGACCAAAAGCAGTGATTTATCCAACAAAGTCAAAATCACCTGAACCTACTAAAATCACATGGGGACGGGGGAGGGTGTGGGGGGGGGGGGGAAGGTCAGGAATCTTTATTATCAAAGGACTGACCCTGAATTCCATCAGAGGGACTTTCTTTGTTTGAAACCGCCCTGAGTCTGCAAGCATTTGTCTGAGACCCTAGTGCGAACCTCTAGGCTTCATGGAAGGGGCAGGAAGCTGGCAGATGTTTTCTAGATGGCATCGGTGCCCAGGACAGGCTAGAGTACCACAACAGCCAATGCATAAGGGTCACCGCCAGGCTTTTCCTTCTGGGAAGGCTGTCACTTTACCCTGATTTCACTCACACCTGTAGGGAGGGAAAGGGCAGGTGAGGAGGGAAAGTTCCCTCCTGTGAGGCATTAGAATCCCTATTTGTGGATGAAGAAATGACCTCATGGAGAAGATCCTCATCTACTAACATCCTCCTTCTGGGCTCTAAACCCTACAGCAGGCTCTGACTTAAGCGCTTTCTCATGCATTCAGTCCTCGCAGGTGAGGACCTTATTTTAGCCCCGGTCTGCAGGTGGTAAATTTTAGAGATACTGAGAGGGTTCAGACATTTGCCCAAGTTATCCCACCACAGAGCCAAGGGGAGGTCTGAATCCAGAGCCTTTGCCCCTAACTTCTAGAATATACGGAGCTGCTCAGTGGAGGGAGCAGAGCCAGGATTCTAATCCAGCTCTTCTCCTACACTAAAGTCCTGCCATTTTCCTGGCCAAACCCCCCAAAGTGTGTCTGCCTCAGGCCAGGGCATTCCCTGGGGCTCCATACCTCAAGGGAAAGCCTGGTTGGAGACCTCTTCCGAGGCAGGCTTCCAGAAGGCCTAACCCAGCACAACGTGGACCATGAGGCAGCTGGACCCTACAAAGAACCCATTGTAGTGACTGCAGAAAACCCAGGCCAGACCAGGCTGGGCCCTCTGGGGAGCCCTGCCCATGACTCCTGGCCTCCTCCCCTTCCCATGGTGCCCCCATACCCAGAGAACAGGACCCGGACTGGCAGAGGCCTCCTGTGTTGCCCAGGCTGGGGCAGCCTCAGACTATGGAAACCTAAAGCCCTCCAGCTGCTGCCAGACGGTATGGGGCTGCAGACCCCTGTGGACTCACTGGAGGTGCCCAGGACGCACCTGTCAGCAGGGGTAGGGGCCACGAAAAGACTCCACCGACGGACGGCAGGAGGGGGAGGGCTCGTTTGTTCCCATCGGGGGTAGGGAGTTAATCTTGTTTCCCAGAATGGGGGTGGAGATGCGCGTTTGAGTGGTGTGGGGCCAGGCTGAGGAGGGGGCTCGGCGGAGGCGAGGGATGGGCGGCCCGGAGGTGGATGGCTTTGCCAGCCGCTGCACCGGGGGGCCCTCCGCGGTTCCGGCCGGCTTTGTGTGCTGCAGGGGTCCCGCCCCAGGTCCCCGAGGGCCTGCCGAGGCATGCACAGGGCTGGGGACCGCTTCTGCGTGCCGGCAAGAGGGGTCCGCGTCGTGCCCGGGCACCCCCTGTGTCCGCGGTCGCCACACTCACCTCCTGAAGTCAAAGGGCATCGTGCCGCCGCTGCCGGGGGTGGGAGCGCTGCAGGCCAGGTGGGCCGCGGCGCCGCGTGGGTCCCAGCCCGCTGCCAACGCCTCCTCCGGCCGCCCCGCCCCCGCGGGCCGCCCACCGCCCCAGACACCCGCCGCTCGCCTCCCGCCGCCGGGAAGTGACGCTCCGCGCAGCCCATTGGGCGCTGTCCGCCGCCCCCCGCCGCCCCTTCCGCCGCCCGGTTAAAGGGGCCCGCGGGCGCGTAGGGGGAAGGGCCGACCTTTTGGGGCCGGGGCAGGGAACCCACAGAGACGCATTTCTTCCTTCGAAGCCCCCACTGTGTTTTCCTTCACTTTCTCTCTGTGGCCTCGGGCAAACCTCAGCCTCTCAGAGCCCTGTTGCATTTGTAAAACGGTTTCCTTGAGTTGTAAGGATTAAATTGAATGAATGATCCAGATTTGGGTCGCGCACAGCGTCTAGCTCTGTGACAGGAGATAAGGCAATCCTAGATTTATAAAGTGAACCCACCATCTATTTCCCTGCTGTACCTCTCTGGGAAAGATACTTGGCATCTCTGAGCCCCCACCCTTTCCACGTATGCACAAAGAGACTGATGGCATTTAGGGGCATTTTCCTGGGGGTCAGATAAGAAAGTTGGGAGACTGGCTTAGTGCAGTGCCTGGCACATGATATGGGCTCAATCACTCGAAGTGACTGTGGTGGACCAGATAGCTGCCTCTGTCTGCACCTTCTGTTTATGGTTCATTCCAACGGTATTCATTGAGAGCGGGCTGTGAGCCAGGTCCATACAGGACATGCTGGTTGTCTCAGGCAGAGCGAGGCCTGCCCAAGTCTGTGACCTGGCCCAGGGCAGACCTCTCTGAGCCTCAATTTCATCCTGCAAAATTCACACGTAATCAGCACCTCCTTCCAGGATTGGTGGATTAGAAGAGTTGATAGTTGAGGTAACACAAGACTGGTGTAAAGGAAACTAATTCCGAACTTCCCCTGGGGTTCTATTGCTGGCCCCACCTCCAAGGTTTCAGTCATAGGGCTTGAAAAATCCCAGGGGAGGAAGGTGGGGGCTCGTGTTCTAAAAGCAGGACCAGAGGGCAGTTTCCTCATCTATAAAAAGAGGTAAATCATGGTACCTGGTTCCTCTGGGAGGATTCAGAATGCACTGTGACAGCACTATGGGTGGGGGGTGAACCAAAATCTTACCTGGAGCATACACTATGGCCTGACCAGTTACCTCTTCCTCCCTCTGACCTCCAGCATTACCTTTCTTTCTTCCTTCCTTCCTTCCTTTTTCTTTCTTTCTTTCTTTCTTTCCTTCTTTCTTTCTCTCTCTCTTTCTTCCTTTCTTTCTCTCTTTTCTTTCTTTCTTTCTTTCTTTCTTTCTTTCTCTCTTTCTTTCTTTCTTCCTTTCTTTCTTTCTCTCTTCTTTCTTTCTTTCTTTCTTTCTTTCTCTCTTTCTTTCTTTCTTTTCTTTCTTTCTTTCCTTCTACAAGTGGCCTGGCGCCTTGAAGTGAGAGAAGGACATCAGCCTGAACTGGAAGTCTGGGGTAACAAGAAAGGTGAAGGGGCCTTGAGTGGCCTGCCACGGGGCCCAGACCACTGTTTGTGGGGCCTCAGCCCCAACCTATTGAATCAGGTTGCATTTAAAAGCATGATCTCCAAGAGATTTGTTGGCACATTTAAGTTTCAGAGGCACTGCTATAAAGACCTTGCTCCCCGCAAGCAGACTGGGGCGAGGTTTACATTGGCTATTCCTTTTGCCTGGAGCACTTTCTTCTTTGTCTTCCACCCTGTTTATAGGGGCAATGTCTCCCAATGTCTGTTCTCCCTTTCTTCAGGACTGTTAGCCATGTGGACAGAGCCCAGACTCTGGAGCCACACCTCATGGGCTCATGTTCCAACATGTCCACTTACTGAGTTATTTTACATCTGTCTCTCAGTTTCCCCATCCATAAAATGGGGACAATAGTAGTAACTTCTTCACAGATTTGTTAGGAGGGTAAAATGAGCTGATACAATTTTTTTTTTAATTAAAAAAAGAAGAAGAAGAAGAAAAGAAAGGGGTGCCTGGGTGGCTCAGTCAGTTGAGCATCTGACTTTGGCTCGGGTCATGGTCTCGCGGTTCGTGAGTTCAAGCCCCACACAAGACTCTGTGCTGACAGCTCAGAGCCTGGAGCCTGCTTCGGATTCTGTGTCTCCCTCTCTCTCTGTCCCTCCCTCACTTGTGCTCTGTCTCTCTGTCTCAAAAATAAATGAACATTAAATAAATAAATAAGCATTAAAAAATTAAAAACATAAAAAAAGGAAATGAGTTGACATATGTCAAGGACTTAGGACAGTGCCTGGTACAGAATAATGCAAAGTGGGGTTGACTATCGTTGCTATTTTTGCATGGTGATGGAGCTCCAATTTTTGGCTGGGCACATGGGTTCTCAGAATGAAAGTTGCATTTTTCAGCTCCCCTTGCACCTAGGTGTGGCCTTGTGACTAAGTTCTGACCATTGATATGTAAGGGGAAGCATCTATGGCAGCTTCAGGGATACTTGGTGTATATTATCCTCTGTCTCACTTTTTCCACATAGCTGCCCAGAATATGGATGCCACCATCATGGACCACGTGAAGAAGGTCATGCAGAACAGAGCAACAGGATAGAAGGAGCCTGAGTCCCTGTCACTGAGTGGCACAGTACCTGTCCTTAAACACCTCCCCGGATGTCTAAGCGAGATATAAACATCTATCTTATATAAGCCACCTTTATTTTGGATTTTCAGCTGCTTACACCTGAACCTAATGCTGATGCACCTGCCTCAGACTAGTTAAACTTGGCAGCTCAAATATTATATATAGAATCCATCCAGGTTCTTCTCCACTATACATTTGCATGGCACCAGTAGTTTTCCTGGGGAAACCGTGTCACAATTTGTGATTACATTATCGTTAATTGGCCAATGTCAACCTCCCCATCTTGACTGGAAGCTCTCCGGGGAGCACGGATGTCCGTTTGTTCATTCTTGTATCCCAGCATCCAGCCAGAGCCTGCACGCGGTAGGGGTGCAATGCCTCTGTGTCAAAGGCTGGATGGAGGCTTCCCAGGGAAGTAGGCTTTCCCACAGAACAGAGGGGCTGGGGAGGGGAGCACATCCACGAGGATCTCTGTGGAGACTGTTGGGGTCTGTAAGCAGACCAGGCTGCCAGTCCCAGGTGATCCATCCACCCAAAAGATAGTGGGAGATAAGGCTAAGGAAGTCCGACTGTGCTGCAGTATGTGGGAAAGCTCTGGGTCTCTTGGACCAGAGGAGTGACTTAATAAAAACCGAGTTTTTGGATTACTAATCCTGTAGGACTCTATGATAGCCAGCCTCCAATGGTCCTCACTGATGTTCCCATGCCCTTGTGTAATCACCTCTCACAACAAGTAGGACAGACTTGGGTAACCAACAGGACATTGCAGAAATGACAGTGTATGACTCCTGAGACAAAGTCATAAAGGGCATTGAGGCTTCCGCTCAGGCTCTCTTGAATCACTTATTCTGGAGGAATCCAGCGTCTGTGTTGCAAAGGTACTCAGGCACTGTTATAGAGGGGTCCATGCGGCCAGAAACTGAGGCCTTCCATCAACAGCCGTGGGAGTGAGCCATCCCGGAAGTGGATCCTTAGCCCCAGTCAAATCTTCAAAGCTTCAGTTCTGGCCCACAGCTTAACTACAGCCTCATGAGAGACCCTGAATCAGAGCCACCCAGCCAAGCTGCCTTTGAATTCCTGGAAGGATGTGAGATAATAAACGTTTCTTTTAAGCCACAAAGTTGTAGGTAATCAGTTCCATGGTGGTACAATTAATATAGACTCTATCCCCATTTGTTTTTCTACCAGCACCTTCTCCCTGCCTTCCTTCGCCTCACCCCAACCGATCAGTCAGCACTCTGGCTGAGCGACCTGGACACATTGCCTAACTAGCTGGGCGTCTGAGTATGAAATGAAGGCTAATAACACCTCATCTGTGTCAGGAAGCCTCTAAACTCGCCACCCGAATCAATCCACCCCCTGGTATTCATATCCTTGTGCAATCCCCTTTCTTAGACTGTAAACTGGATTTACTGACTCACTTCTAATGAACAGAATGTGGCAGGAGTAATGGCATGTTACTCCTAAGACGAAGTATAAGGAGATTGCGGCTTCTGTCTTGGGCACTCTTGCTGTCACTCACATCAGCAGCCCGGGGTGAGCCAGCAGCCATGTTGTAAGGCAGCCCTGTGGAGAAGCCTGTGTGAGTTAGGCCGAGTGTGAGAGGGCCAAGCGTGAACCTCCTGAGGCTTGACCAAAACCTTGTGTGTGAGCTCGGGAATGGATTCTGCAGCCTCAGCCAAGCCTTGAGATGACTGCGGCCCTGGTGGACAGCTCGATTGTGACCTCGCGAGAGACCTTGACCCAGAGGTATCCAGCCGAGTTCTGCTTGGATCTTGTGAGATAACAAAATGTTTGTTGCTCTAAACTACCAGGTGTGGGGTGGTTTGTTATAAAGCGGAACAAATACATGGTCCTAAAACCTTGCTGTGAAGATGAAGTAACATGTGCCTAGTACACAGTAGGTGCTAATTAAATGCTTGCTAAAACAATCAATAAACAGACGAGTGTACTATAATGTGGAATGTTCCCTGGATCCAAATGCTCACTGCCTCCACCGCCTCCTGCCGAACACGACACTGAAAGGTGTTTTAAGCAGGGGAATAGCTGGGTCAGATTTCCTTTTCTGTAATGAGAGACTGGTTTGTGTTCCATGGGTGTGGCTGGTTCAGATGTGGTCTGGATAGAGAGAGATTAAGAAATAATAATCTTTTGTCAGCTCAGAGAGGTCTTGAGGGTAACTTAGGCCTCTGGACAAACAGAGTCTCTATTAAAGTCTCCTCACCGGAGGACATTCATTCATTGTAAGTCATTCACTGAATACCTCTTTGTGACGGGACTTTTGGATGAACATGACACATCCCTGCTTTCAAGAAGTTAGGGAGGAGGTGACCAAAAATGTGGTACCACTGTAAAAAACCCGGGTCAGGGGCACTAATTTCTTGTGTGGAGGCATCTTAGTGTGGTAAATCCTGTGGTGTGGGCAGCACCAG